GGTGCTGAATGTTTAGGGTGTAACTACAAACACAACTGCTTTAAATGTGGTGTTGTTCACCCGGCTATTCGTTGTAATTTTTGTGGCCAAAAGCCCTCCTCTGGCTCAGCCCCAAGTGCCGCCAAGTCCCGTACTGCCAACACCGGTTCTAATTGACAATCTCTACCCATTATTATGTGGATACGATGTGCGATTGGCATTAAATTTATATAATGGTTTTAAGTTTGGTTTTCCCCTTCATTTTGAAGGATCTTGTATATCAATTTTTGGTCCTAATCTCGTTTCCGCGCAACGGAACCCTGAGATAGTTAGTGCTAGACTCTCGAAAGAATTGGCAGTCGATCGCCTGGCTGGGCCTTTCAACAGTCCACCCTTTCCTAATTTTCGCGTTTCCCCCTTGGGGCTGGTACCTAAAAAAGCCCCTGCAGAATATCGCTTAATCCACCATTTGTCTTTTCCAAGTGGTGAATCTGTTAATGACGGCATTGCTCACAAGCATTCGACTGTACATTATGCTCGTGTTGATGATGCCATCAATATGATCAAACAATTAGGCCGCGGCTGTTTCCTAGCAAAAACGGATATCAAGAGCGCATTTCGTATTATCCCGTTAAGGCCATCCGATTATGATCTCGTAGGAATGTTTTGGCAAGGGAAGTATTCTTATGATCGCGTTATGCCCTTTGGCTGTGCGTCATCTTGTCGCACTTTCGAGATGTTTAGCACTGCTATCGAATGGGTTGCTAAGAAACACTTGCAAATCCCACATCTAATCCACATTCTTGATGATTATCTAATGGCGTCACCTACTTATCACCAATGTCGCATTGATCTTGTCCGCTTCTTATCTCTCTGTAAATATTTAGGCATACCAATCGCACCGGACAAAACTGTTGGCCCACAAACTATTCTCGCCTTTGCTGGCATTGAATTAGACACTTTGCGCATGGAAGCCCGTTTACCAGACGACAAGACCGATAAATGCAAGTCTCTAATATCTGGCTTTCTGCGTCGCAAAAAAGTTACTTTGCGTGAAATACAATCGTTAACTGGTTTACTTAATTTTGCTTGCTCCGTAGTTGTCCCTGGTCGGGCTTTCTTGCGCCGTCTCATTGATTTGACTAAAGGCATCAAGTTCCCGCACCACTTTATTCGTCTAACTAAATCGGTTAAGGCCGATCTTGTCATCTGGCAGTCCTTTTTGGACGAATTTAATGGCCGATCGTTTTTTCTCAGTGATGTTTGGAATGATTCCTTCAGTTTAAACCTATATACCGATGCTGCCGGTAGTTTGGGCTACGGTGCTGTATTCGGTGATGAGTGGTTTTTCGGTGCGTGGCCCCCCAATTGGAGGCAATTAAACATCGCGATTTTGGAATTTTACCCAATTGTACTCAGCGTACTCGTATGGGGAGATAAGATGCGAAACCAGCGTATCACCTTTTTTACGGATAATGCGGCATTGGTCGATATTATAAATAAAGCCACTTCACGCGATGTGACTGTTATGATATTTGTTCGCCGACTGGTGCTGGCTTGTTTGAAATTTAACATTTTATTCCGCGCTCGCCATGTACCGGGTGTCAAAAATGTTTTAGCTGACGCTTTATCTCGATTGCAGGTTTCGAAGTTCAAACAGCTAGCTCCGGTGGGTGTACAATCGTCACCAACGGTCATACCAGCCCAACTACTCCCGTACAACTGGCCGCTCTAACAACTAAATTACTTCAATCTAGTTTGCAGCCATCATCGGTCCCTACTTATCGCCGGGCCTGGAAACTATATAGCCAATTTTCAAGTGCAGTTTTTTACTCAGCTTTAGTCTCACTGCCTATATCGCCCGCCAACTTAAGCCTATTTATTTCGTACATGTTTCAACGCAATTATGCGGCCTCGACGGCCAACACGTACGTTTCTGCACTGGGATATTGTCATCGTCTTGCAGGGGTGAACGACCCAACTAAAGTTTTTTGGATTGTCGAAATGTTGAAAGGCTATGGTAAGCTTGGGTCATGCATTGATACACGCTTGCCCATAACTCTCCCTATCCTTCGCACCGTCTTACAGCAAACTCCAACTATATGTTCGAGTGAGTATCGGGGGTACTTGTTCAAAGCTATGTGCACGACCGCATTTTTTGCCTTTTTGCGAGTTGGCGAAATCACTTGTTGTCCACGGTCACCAGACGTACTGCAATTGAGGCAGGTCGTTCAACTCGTGGATAATGCGGGCAACGTCAGCGGTTTAAAAATAACATTTTTGAATTTTAAGCATTCTTATAACCAAGCTAACGTCTCGCTCACTCTTCAACGACGTTCAGACGTATGCCCAGTGCAGAGCTTACTAGACTATTTTGCACATCGTGGTTTAGCTGATGGCCCTCTTTTTCAAACTCGTGACGGGCATGCAATTTCACGCAAAATGTTCACAGACCATTTAGCTATTATATTTCGCACGTGCGGTCTCGATGCAAACAGGTACAAAGGACATAGTTTTCGCATCGGTGCGGCTACATTCGCTGCCGAATGCGGTTTTTCCGATGCCCAAATACGACTAATGGGCCGTTGGAAATCCGACGCTTTCCGCAAGTATATTCGCGCTCCTAGTTTGTGACTTAAATCAGACACTTCGACTATACAGGCCGGGCTTTTTGTAGGGATTGATTGTGGCTGCCTGTTGATAAACCCGTTTAGTAATTAGTACACTTTGTCAAGTCGACGCAAGGGCAAGACTTGATATAATATAGGAATGTGCGTGTTAAGATACTAGAAATGTACGTGTCACTTAATCACTGTTTTACGTTCTCTGTGAGGCTAACGCATGGGCAAGGCTTCTACACAACCGTTCGCTTTAGCAGGTTGGCGGTCCCCTGGCAGTTTAACGCATGGGCACAAACTGTTGGCGGTCGCTTACCATGTTTTTGCTTAATAATGACAGTAATAATCCACGCACTGATTTCGCTTTGGAGTTGTTTTTATAGGTTTTAACCTCACTGTGTCTGCTGATACCTTGTAACGATTGGATGGGGTATGCCTCCTTTACCCAAGGAGACTCGTGGCGTATTTATTACCCCACCTTTTCTGTGCGAACTTTTAATAATTAACTTCGGTTTATAATTTGTTATGTTAATAATTATCTCATTGTTTTAAAAAATTAATAAATCGGCATGTGCGTTGCGCAAGACGCACATTGCCATAATTATTCCAGTTGCTGTCTGACTTGGTCAATTGCGCAATGTTCGCGCACAGAAAACAGAGCTAATCGTTGCAGGATATCTTGCTGACATAGTGTTAAGAAAAGGAAGCGATAAAGGAATTATTGGCATACCAATAAAGATTTTATTGCTTCCTGCATCTAGTTTTAGAGATAGGGAGCTATTGTAATGGAACACGTGGGTATTAGCCCCGATAATTTGTAGTCACATGAATGTAATGCGCAGGAAGCGGATAGGAGTGGTGATATAATCTACAGCAGTATGTGCATCAGTTCATTCTACTCTTCAATCTGGTCGCGCAAGGTCAACTCTCTGGCTGAAATCAATTGATATCCCACCCTCCTCCCCGTTACTTGACGCAATATTATTACATATGTAAGTTAGTTTAGTTATTAGATTAATTTCTAAATGGTGGGCGTATTTATTACCCCACCTTTTCTGTGCGAACTTTTAATAATTAACTTCGGTTTATAATTTGTTATGTTAATAATTATCTCATTGTTTTAAAAAATTAGTAAATCGGCATGTGGGTTGCGCAAGACGCACATTGCCATAATTATTCCAGTTGCTGTCTGACTTGGTCAATTGCGCAATGTTCGCGCACAGAAAACAGAGCTAATCGTTGCAGGATATCTTGCTGACATAGTGTTAAGAAAAGGAAGCGATAAGATCAATTTATATATCGGTTCGGCATAGCCGTTCAACTCAGATGTTTATGGCGTTGAATATGTTCCGGATAAACATTTGGCTAAAGTTAGTAGGAATATACCGTTTGCTTTCAACCTGAGGAAATATTTTTGGAGAAAAAAAAAGAACTAGTAATTTCCGAGTATTTCTTGGTGCGAAAATATAAAAAATTGTTCGGCGAGAATCGATCCATTACGCATTTGACGTCTGTGGTTTCTACCACTGTACCACGTGTTCACGAACATACTGCATTGATCTGAACTAGTGATCTCAATCAATAAATATTCAACTTGGATGTTTATGCCGTTGTATATGTTCGGCATAAACATTCAACTTAGATGTTTATGCCGTTGTATATGTTCGGCATAAACATTCAATTTAGATGTTTATTAGACCGGGAGCCCAGGGGTATGAGCTTAGCTGGAAAGGTTACCAATTTTTATGCATACTGCATTGGTCTATGTACCTAGTGATCTAAGAAAATGGACGTCTGCCGGACACACACTGGTGGTTGTGGTCAGGGGGGAGTGAGAAACTAAGCCGCAAAATGAGCTAGATCAGCTGGTGATGTAACCCAACAAAACTTAGTGCAAAATGTTCAGCATAGTGCCAGGAGCCATAAATGACCACTGACAGACAATTTTATCAGGGGGGTGGGTTCGCCTGACGTTCTTGAATGCTGACCCCAAAATTGAGCTAGATCAGCTGGCGAGGAAACCCGACGAAAGTAAGTGCAAAATGTTCAGCGTAGTGCCAGGAGTCATAAATGACCACTGACAGACATTTTAATCAGGGGGGTGGGTTTGCCAGACGTCCTTGAATGCGGACTCTCAAAATTGAGCTAGATCAGCTGGTAAAGAAAGGTCACATCCAGACCATTTTGAGCAGGAGATGGGTTCACCAGAATTACGTTAAACTAATGTTGGAAATTTCGAGATAATTTCCGTGTATAATCAAAGAAAATCTAAGGAGTTGTTAAAAAAGCGGGATTTTTTTCACATGAAGTGGAAGCACAGAAACATGTGGAAACACAGAATGACAGAAACACGTCACGTCTTTATTAAAAGAAGAAAAATTTACATAATCATGTCTTAGAAGTATGGATGCAGCAGAAACAAGCGTGCTTTCGACCGAAAATCAATCTTTGGCCGAAGAAATAAATAGTGTATCGGCCAGTATTGTCAATCAACAGGTATGTTGAAAAAAATGGCATAAAAACAAGTCGGATTCCCCAATGTTTCCCCCAAAAATTATTTCACAAAAATGCTCAAAAACAAATCTCATTATGACAATCATTAATTTTATCGATAGAAAGTTTTATAATTGATTCACCAACTTTCCCCCACGAATTTTTTTTCATAAGAACATAACGAACATAACTATACAGCAGATAAAAGGAAAATTGTCTACTTTCAATTTTGTTTCTCCAGGAACGTTGCGAAGTCATTAGTGAGCTTAAGCAAGAGCGACGTTTTTGTCAACACGAACGTTGGTATAACTCATTTTGCATGCATTTTGTATCATAGCGCTCGTGTAAAGAAGCAAAAAATTTAAAAATCTTATGTTTTGTCATATGTGTAAAAAGATTAATACAAACTGATGCAAACACAGTTTTTAATCCAGTTTCCCCTCGGCACTCTGGCGTCCGTGTTGACAAAAACCTCGCTTGTTTAAGCTCGCTATTAACATTTGGGGCGCGGGGGGGGGGGGGGGGGGGGTTGTCGAGTTGTTTTGACCAACTTTTCCAAACAATTGAGCCAAACAGTAAAAAATGTTCCGGGAAATTTCCAGCATTTTCTCCAACAATTGACCAACTTTAACTAGGAATGTTCGGTATGAGAAATTTCCGGTATCGGTATACCGAAAAAATTATACCGATATTATCGGTATACCGGTTTTCCTTTGATAATTATAAAAGAAAATTATTTAATGGAAATTTTAAGGAAATTTTGAGTAATTCTAAAAGGGAAAACGATAATTTCGAAGCTGTTTCGAACATGTTTCGAAAGACACGTACTCAGTGTAAAATCTCACTGAAGTGGAAATTCTAAATCATTGCAGTAGAAAGTTCTTTGAATTGCCATTCAGTAGTAAAATAAAGGTTATGGTTTCGCCATATAGTTGGTAAATTTAACACGGTATACCGAAAAATTCCAGTTATAGGAAATTTCGGTATATCGGTATGGTTGAATATCCGGTATCGATATACCGATATTGATTTAATAGCGATATTTTCGGTATATCGGTATACCGAACAGTCCTAACTTTAACCTGCAACTATGACCACATTTTCCCATTTTGATCTTCATCTTCTATAGACTACATATAACAGTTCTTCCAAATGATTGTGTATCTATAATGTTCCAAGCAGCACTAAGCTGTATATTAATCAAAGTAATCATAATTTTTACCTAATTAAAATTTGACAATTTCGTTACACAAATGTTGCCATATATTGCAGAACAACGAAAGCGAGAGTATTTTAAGCTGCTACGTCTGCCATTTAACCGACTCCTCTGACGAGAAGGGCCACCTAAGAAAATTTAGTGACAGTACATGGACAACAATAAAGCATGTTGCTGCCCTGCGCAAGAATTTGAAATCTGACAAATACCTTGGGGTTACACAAACAATTTTGTCTAGCAGTGATCGTGAATCCTTATCTATCGGCTATCACGCTTCCTGCCATAAGAGTTACACAGCAGTAAAACGTGCGAAAGAAGATCTGGCACCAGATGATGAATCCGCGACAAAAATTCGGTGTACCGAGACAAGACGTTCCAGTGCGTTTCCGAAGTCGGATGGGCAAGGTATATTGAAAGGGACTTGCATTTTCTGCAGTAAAAGTCGAAAAAAGAAAAATGGAAAAGACGAGCCCAGACTGAAGGTTGCGACAATTGCCGGTTGCGAGTCACTCTACCATAGGGCAAAGTTTTCGAAAAACGAACATATAAAGAGTCTTGTTCGGAGTGGTGTAGACCTTATTGCAAAAGAAGCAGAGTATCACAAATCCTGCCGTGTACAGTTTTTGAAAGATACCGACAAACAAGATAAACCCATGGAAACGACATCATCGCAGTCCTGTCACAAAATGGCATTTGCATCTTTACTTTCCTTTATCCAGGATGAAGTTTTGGCAAAGCATCGAACAATATTCGTCAGTGATTTACTTGCCATGTACAAGGAGGAATACGCCAGTATTGGGGAAAGTGGGACAGAATCAGATGTACCGGTTTACACTGCTCAAAATCTTACTAGAAAGATAAAAGATCATTTGAAGGATAGAGTTACGATAACACTGGTAAACCAGCGAAAAGGTAACTGTATCCATAGTTCTGATATTCCAGAAGAGGAAGCCCATAGTCGCCTTCATGAAGATTCGAAGCGGTACGAAGAAAATAGCAAATTAAGATGGGCCGCTCTACATCTCAGATCTCAAATTATGAAGCTTCCAAAAACCAGGACACCTAATCCGGCGACAGTGCAAACTTTGAAGGAATGCGCCCCGGAAATGCCAGAACAGTTAGACTTGTTCTTGAGAAGTCTTCTTGGCGGTATTACACCCATTCTTAACGGCACACAAAAGGATATCCTTGACCGAAAGGTGACTGCGATGGGATCGGATGCCATTTACAACGTCAATCGTGGTACCGTAAAACCATGGAAACATACGGCATTGGCTCTCGGTTTAGCATCCCTTACAGGATCAAAACTGGTTACACAGATTCTGAACAGAACAGGACATTGTATTAGTTACAGTGAGACCAAAGGCCTCGAAACTGAGTTCGCCTATTCAGTTGCGGGCGACGAGCACGACGCACCAGATGGCATTCGCCTTGATCCAAACGTATCAACAGCTTGTGTTTGGGATAACAATGATGCGAACGTGGAAACCCTGGACGGAAAAGAAACGTTACACGCTACTGTAGGTCATACATACCAGAATGTGTTGCAAGATGATGAACAGGCTAATTCAAATCCAATCGCGTTTCGAGAAAAGAGAAATCGACGGAGTTTTGTGGGAAACGAAAGAGAAATACCAGCTTTCAGGAAATCACTCCATTCTGCCGAATTTATCAGTCCTACTGCAGCAGCTACCTCTGATACCGTTGGCTCAGCACTCAGTACACCAGCCCGGACAACCGTCGGAGAATCGGATGAATGCCATGTTCACCTTAAGGTTGTGGATCTGTATTGGTTCTGGAAATTGATGGAAGGCAACACTCCATTGTATGCAGGATTTATGAGCAAGTATATCGAGGACCCTCTGCCACTTCAACGAATTTGCTACATGGATCCAATATCCAGATCACCCACAAATAATGATGTCGTGAGGGAGACGATGATTCGTACCATGAACGTTGCGAACGAAACGGGCCAAGAATATGCAGTAGTCACTTATGATTTACAGGTTGCCTTGAAAGCCTACTCTATTCAGGCGATCGAAACTCCCATGTTTGACAAGCTGTTGGTAATGTTGGGCCATTTCCACGTCGAGTTGGCGTTCTACGGAGCGGTTGGTACATTTATAAATGACAGTGGAATCGAATATATACTTACCGAAGCCAACATCTTGGCAGAAGGTTCAATGATGGGGTTTATCAAGGGAAAGTTCTATAACAGATGCACACGAATCCACGAATTACTTGCTAATGTCTTGGAGCAGAAGTTGTACGAACGCTTTGTCTTTGAAACACCTGAAGTAGACCACGATTTGTTCCAACAAGTGATGTCCACAGTACCAGTGGATTCCGGAAGAGCATTGGAACACCTAACGGATCCAGCTGTGACCGCTCACCTGCAGAAATACGAGGAATTCTTCCAGAAGGTTCTCGACGGAAAGCTCGGGTCAACAGCTCAGTTCTGGGCCATTTACATCTTTATGATCAATCGCCTCCACAGAGAGCTGCAGAGATGCGTTAAGATGAACGACGTTGGTGGCTACATTAAGATATTCCCAACACTGTTGGTGGTATACTTCGCCCTGAACCGACCAAACTATGCGAGATGGGGAACACTTTTTTTGCATAAGTTGAAGAGTGCAGACCCAGAGCTGCGTGAAGTATTGGAGAATGGTGCGTTTTCCATAAGACGCACAAAGAAGAACTACAGCAGATCTGCTGTCGACCTTTCCTTGGAGCAAACAGTGAACCGGGATTCAGCATCCAAAATGAAGGGAATAGTGTCCTTCCGAAACTCCGAGAGCGCAATGAGACGTTGGTCATTGAGTATGACACAGCGAGCTACGGCAGTCACCGAACTAAGAGCATTAGTTGGACTTGAACAGGGGGAAACTGCGACTTCCCAATGTCGTCCTTCAAGAATCAGGAAGGATAACAATCAGATGGCAGAATTGAGTGCAAAAATTGACGAATTTTGCAATCCATTTGGAGATGATGCCCCAACGGCTTTAGTAAACGTTGCAACTGGTCAAATAGCATCAAAGGTTACTGAATCCTATCTAATCAATGCGCTTCAAAGGGGTCAAGAAGAACGAGATAAATTCCAAGACGAGTGGAACAGAAACAGCCATCGATTTCTTGAGCCTGTGAAGCGTACGCGCATACAGAACTTTGCTGCTCAAAACGTGAAGAAAAAGCTACCAGCCTCGCAGAAAGCCAAGGCAAACGCGGAGAGCTTGAGAGATATGTTTGCACGTATGTTGGTAGTCGCTTCAGACAAGACCGAATTAGACCTTCGGAAGATCATCTCCTACCCAATTACGACCTACCCTCTGTCACTTGCACACTGTGATGGGACGCATATGAAAACCGAGAAATCAGCATTGCTAAGAAAGCTAGAGTCCTTTCAGACGGAAACGATCACAGAAACCCAGTTGCCAATGAGTTATGCACAAATCTATGATGGAGGACTTCTTCTTCATTCCATACTCTCGCTAACAGCTGTGGGTGCATCGTATGCTTCAATTGCTCGAACCATGCTGTCATTGGCATGTTCAGGGAGGGCTCACGAAGTACATGTTTGCTTTGATAAGTACGTGGAGAACTCCATAAAGGACAGTGAGAGAAGACAGCGTGGTGCAGTTGACACAGCATACACAATAACCGGTCCAGACCAGAAGATCAGGTTAAGCGGAAAGAAGCTTCTCACGAATGGAACATTCAAGAACGAACTCGCAAAGTTTCTCTTGAAGGAGTGGAAGAAAACTAACTACCAGCAAACATTTGGAGGAAAGACGTTGTTTGTATCACACGGAGGCGAGTGTTTACAGTACGTACCAGACGAGCAGCAAGGTATTACTGTTAGCAGACCATCATACCTACAAGGCGATCATGAAGAAGCAGATACGCTGGTTGCCTTCCATGTGGCAAATGTTTCTGAAGCCGAAAATGTTGTTGTGAGGGCATCCGACACTGATGTCCTAGTGATTCTCATTGGTGCGATTGGGCGGCAAAATGAAGAAGACAGCTCTTTACCTGACATCATAATGGATTGTGGCATTGGAAACAGTCGGAGGTATATTAACGTGACCAACATTGCAGAAATCCTTGAAGAACACAAACCTGGTCTTGCTAGCGCACTACCCGGATATCATGCTTTTACTGGATGTGATTTTACGTCAGCTTTTTATAGGTAAGCACCTAAATTATTGGTTATTTCACTTTTGGTAAAATATCTGTTAAATATTATACAAACCAACCGAACTACATTAAGATAGAGAAAAATATGCATTATGATAAATAAATGCATTGGTCGATAACAATTGAGACCAACATGAATGTTTAACTCAATTTTTTTATTTGACTTTTCAGGAAAGGCAAAAGTAAACCTCTGTCCATAATTGAAAATGACCAATCAGGCTCCTACGTTAACCTCTTTATTGATATGGGTGACCGGAATAGTGATGTTGACCTGCACATCGCATCAGAATTTGTATGTCGTATATATGCTGTAACCAAGACAAAAGATGTCAATGAAGCCCGATACCAGAAACTCATACAAATGACTGGCAAAGTTGATCAGGTAATCATGGTCAAAGGACAAAAAATATAACTTATAAAAGTTTGATGATGCCCTTCGTATTTGTCTATTTTGACATGCAAACAATAAATTTGTCAAGAAAATCATACTCATAAACAATGTAAACCTAGCTATTCCAAAAGCTTTCTCTCATGTCATTCATTCACTTTTAGAATGATCCGCTGGCAAATATCAAACGGATAGACTGTTCTTTGCTGCCACCTTCCTTGCCAGCCCTTATGATAAAAATTCGGCGAACGCAATATGTCACAGCAATGTGGACAAGAGCTGTTACCAACTGTCCAGCGGACGATTTGTCACCAACAGATTATGGGTGGTATGTTGATAACACCCTCCTAAAGCCAACCTGGTTTGAAGGCCCTGCCATACCAGATAGTTTGTTTACAGAAAACAGCACGCAAAACATGGAAAGTGAAGACGACAGTGACACTGAATCAGAAGCTGACGATGAGCTAGAGAGTCTGTCAGATGTAGACATATGGAGCGAATATACATGCATGCGGGAGAGGAAGACGACGATTGATTGCTATTGACATTAGTTTCGTTGGCCACAATATTCGTACTTAATTTCTAGAATATTTGACACGTTTGAGCCTGATGTTATTCATAATGTAATATTTCCGAGTACATACTCATTAATAATTAATGAGGCTAATTAATGCTAGGTAGTCTGAGGACTGGATCCGAATTATTCACTACACTTGTATTTCAGCAGGTATTCACTATCATCATTTGGCCCAAATAGAGTAGGTAATTTCCTCATGAATTATTAATGAGTATGGGATTGTTATATATACGTTATTTGGCACGCAAAGAGTAGGCTGGGAGGCCACCACTCAAAATGTCTGGCAGTGGCCATCTTGGTATAATACTGAACATTTTGCACTAAGTTTCATCGGGTTTATCTAGCTCATTTTGGGGGTTCAGTAGATTCAAGGACGTCTGGCGGACCCACCCTCCTGATAAAATTGTCTGTCAGTGGTCATTTATGGCTCCCGACACTATCCTGAACATTTTGCACTAAGTTTCGTTGGGTTTCCTCACCAGCTGATCTAGCTCAATTTTGAGAGTCACCATTCGAGGACGTCTGGCAAACCCACCCCCCTGATTAAAATGTCTGTCAGTGGTCATTTATGACTCCTGGCACTACGCTGAACATTTTGCACTAAGTTTTGTTGGGTTACATCACCAGCTGATCTAGCTCATTTTGCGGCTTAGTTTCTCACTCCCCCCTGACCACATCCACCAGTGTGTGTCCGGCAGACGTCCATTTTCTTAGATCAATAGGTACATAGACCAATGCAGTATGCATAAAAATTGGTAACCTTTTCAGCTAAGCTCACACCTCTGGGCTCCAGGTCTATTTATACACCCTTTTCATAAATGGCTGCCGATTAAAAATTCTTTTATGTGCATATCAATTGCCCCAACTCGCCTCGTACTCATGTTAAGATTTCAAAGGAATTTCTACCCAGAAACGAGGCTAGTTGGGCCAATTTATATGCACATAAAATAATTTTTAATCGGCAGCCATTTATGAAAATGGTGTATGCCTTTGCGGAAACGACGCCAGCCATGGCGTCTTCAAAAGTGTTATGAATTTGTGAGTAAAAGTGTCAACCTTCGTATCGGGTTACGCTTACCAAACTGTTGCCTATTATCAAAACTATTTTGCGTTATAAGCGGTTAACATTTCACGTGTTGCAATCGCTTTTTTCTTAAATAAAAAAAATATTATAAAGAGTAAATCCTTTGACTTGTTAGACCATGCGTGGCTAACGCATATAAATTGTTGGTGCTACAATATCCGGAATATCGAGGAATTTTAAGTTTCCGACTCTAAGTCTTGCAAAGAAGAGGAAAATAACCCACGGGCTACCTCATTTCAATTGGGAAAATGTCAACGATCTCCACGAACTTGGTGTTGGTAACTTTGGCTCAGTTCATTCTGCGAAATACGTCCATGGCTCAGAAGAGAAAAAACCGAACATGTGCTAACTTGAACAATCTTCGCCTCCCATTCGAAATAGCGGGATTCTACTGCATATTAGATGGCACTTTGCATGTATGATGATTTTAGCAATAAAAGACCGTTTCTGTGGGATATACCGCTGAAACAAAGCCGAACATAAGATGGGGGTCATTCGCGGCTAACGATAAACAGTGCTTGCAATTCAACTTTATTCTATTTACGAAACAGGGTTGCCAGATTGCTGACTAAATGAGCCAAATATTATTATCATAACCTTTTGTTTTCTTTGTTCGAAACAAAGACATCAAAGGGCCGCATATAACAATGTTTGGCTTATTTATTCAGCAATCTGGCAACCTGTTACGAAAATAGCTATGAATTATCATAGATCATAATAAATTAAACATAGCAGAATGTGTGCTATGGACATTCTCAGCTCGACTGCTTTTTCGTTTTTTGGCAATTGGTACTTTGTAGATACACAAAGCTTTCGATCCGTGAGGGCTACAGAGTATAAATTATATTTTTTCACCATGCAAACATACAAAGAACTTATTCGTTTTTTAAATGATGTTTTTTTATGATTGCCGTTCCCACTTCCGTTCCCATTCCCATTCCCGTTCCCATTCCCCGTTCCTTGTTTTAAAGATAGCCTATGCCACGGGCTCCGCGATTAATCTTTTCGAAATGTTTTGTTCCCTGTTGTGGTGGGGACCCAAACAAACATAATGTACAGCTGCAATACAGGGTGTATAAAAAAAAACTGAACAGATTTAAAATTGCTCTCAATTTCGCAAAACACCTATTTGTATCTGGTTTTTTATATATATAGCTTCTTTGGGTACTTATAATGTAAAATAATGAAAAAAATTTCTCGAACTCAAATTTCGTGAACCAGGTGGGGGGGGTGTCTTTTCCAACAAATTAAAAATGGCTCGCGCACAAAATTTAAAAGCTGTAATCATATTTTGAGTTAATAGATTGAAAATTTGTCGGGTGTTTAATTACTGTCCAAAATTTCAGACAATTTGGTTAAGTTTAAGCCCTTTAACTATTCACTTTGTTCTAAAAAGTCAGCCTTTCGCATGCTTAATTAATGCCTTTACCTAATTTGCATATTGCTGACATATGCAAATTAGGCAAATGCATAATTAAGCATGCAAATAGCTGATTTTTCGGGAAAATTGTAACTTTGCGTGAATAGTTAAGGGGCTTCAACTAAACCAAATTGTCTGAAATTTTGGACAGTAATTAAAATCCCGACAAATTTTCCATCTGTTAACTCAAAATATGATTGCAGCTTTTAAATTTTGTGCGCGAGCCATTTTTAATTTGTTGGAAAAGACACCCCCCCCCTGGTTCACAAAATTTGAGTTCGAGAAATTTTTCTCATTATTCTACATTATAAGTACCCAAAGAGGCTATATATATAAAAAAACGGATACAAATAGGTGTTTTGCGAAATTGAGAGCAATTTTAAATCTGTTCAGTTTTTTTTTATACACCCTGTATATTGTATAATGCAATATGTGGATGTCAGCCTAGCCTGCGTAGTAGCAGTTGCTTTATTTTATTGAAGGTTTTGAGGATTTTTTAATAAATGGCTGGTTAGAAAGAATGGGCGAGGAAAAAAGGCCGAGAAAAAACGGGCGAAGGAAAATAAAGCGCCTACAACCGTCCTTAATACAAATTTATTCCCCGTTCAGATTCTGAACGGAAAATACTGATTGGTCAAAATCTGGCTCACGGTGTTCTCGCTTCCGGTCCGTGCATTTTGAATAATACAAATGGCGATGACAAGAGAATGTTTATTGAACGAAGCGCTGCAGCGAATTTTTTAAAAAACTGGCAAAAGGCTAACCTTGAAAGATGAGACAAATTTGTGGTCCTAGAGATATTATCAATGGCTTTGCCATTCTCAACACAACGTTAAACCAAACATTATCACGTCTGTCAAGCAACGTGAAGCTTATTGCGACCCAAGAGATTTTACTTAATTAAAGTCGAAATTCTACAGCAAACATTGCATCGCTTTAGGCAAACTTAGCCGTTTTTGAGGTTATTTTAAAAAGCTTCAAACATTTATTACAGCAATCAGATTGCTTAGCGCTAATCCTTGAGCTGACATTCATTGAACCGGCCCGTAGATCTTAAATTCTCTACTTTGTCACGTTGTGCGCCATGTCTGTTTGTTTTTATAATTACGCCACCACTTCATGGTCATGCCAGCGACTCTTGTCTGATTGGTTGCAATTAGTTGTTTTCGCCATGGAATGTGGCCGGAAATTTCAAGTAAGTGGCGGAATAAGTTTATATTAAGGACGGTTGCAGGCGCTTTATTTTTCCTTCGCCCGATTTTTCTCGCCCTTCTTTTCTTCGCCCATTTTTTCTAACCCGCCATTTATTCGAAAATCTTCAAAACCTTCAATAAAATAAAGCGACTGCCACGCAGCTACTGTCAGCCAGTCATATGATATTGCTGATGCTTATTGTGTCACTTAATTGGCCTTTTTTAACTATGTAACTGGGGAAGGGGTCAAAGTTCCTTTTCTCTAAAATATAAGCAAAACATTGGACGAAAAATGGAATTTAGAAGGGATGTATGATATTCTATATAGTAACTGAAATTTGTTTTGCGAATGTTATGTCATGTCTTGTATCTTCAAATGATTCAATACTGCATGCCTTCAATTAAAAATGATAAACATTTGAAATTTCCCAGTGGATAGCAAATCACAGACCCTATCTAGATTTGAGTTGTTGGAGGCTAGGTTAAACAAGTTAGTGACTGAGTGTCGTATTTACATAAACATACCATGCACTTGATTGAAGAACGATTCATCTACAGGTAAAATGCAGTCCTAGTGGTGGAAAAATACAAAAACACCTCACCAAACTTTTTGTCATCAACATCCATCTTTCATCTCTCCACACTCAATATAGTATGGTCTCTTTTTGTAGATGGCCCCCACAGTCGAATTCTTAAAAAAGACCCTTGATGTTAATGGGTTAAAATTTGGTTCAAATTATTGATGTATATTTCTTTTCTTTTTGTAGATACACACTCGGGCAACTCTTCAACGCATGGAATACAAAAAGATATTTTTATATGTATGTATCTTGCTGAAAAGATAAATAAAGAAAACAGATTCATCATGTGTTTGTCAAGGAATTAAGTTCACAACTGAGAGTTTTGAAATACAATGAACATTCTCAAGCCCCAAAATACGAGCTCAAGAAGACATGGAATATTTTGTTCAACTGCTCGTAGTCTTGTAAATGGAAGAACATTTAACTTTTGATTGAATTGCTGTTTTCAGTTCCAGTTTGTAACGCGAAACTGGAACGCTTATTTCTAATCTTAGGAGAGTAAAGCATGACTTCAGATGTTTTTTTAGGTGAGCACCGTTTGACAAACATTCTCAGAATCGTTTCTTTAAAACTGTGGCAATTGAAACACCTGGCGAAAATCTTTAATTGTTTAAAGATAAAGAGCAGAGCCGAAGCAAATAACTTTAAAACCAAACATAATAAAAGTAAAAGTTTATTAGCTAATTAACATTTCGTTAAGGACAGGGTTAAGTTGAGAAATTAATAAGCTTTCACGGATAAGAAGATCCCAGTCAGAAGTGCCTGATGATAGGATTTTGAAATCAGAAGCGGAGACTGGGTGTTTGTGCATGTGTTTGTGCATGAACGAGTATACTAGACATGGTTGAGATAGAGCGGTCTTTTCCAGTCAAAGGCGAGACTCCCATATATGCTCTAAGATACGTGCATGTGTGAATGTGTCGACGTGTTTGGCCAACATACAATGCGCTACAGCATTGACACATGAACTGATACACAACATGTGATCTCAGGGCAATGGGAATCCTGTCTTTAAATGGAAAGAAACTAGAAAGGCGACAAGAGCTACAAGCAGAAGCAAGAACTTTACTAAGTTGTGAACGGATATGTAGACCATCATGTCCAGTGAAAGGAAGGCAGAAGTAAACAAGTTTCTTAGAACATGTATGAACCTTGACTTTGATGTTATAAATCCTGTCACGAAATGTCTTAATTAATTAATGCAACTATCTATAAGTGCTTTAGGATAAGATGCATTGGAAGAAAAGGTTTTCTTAAAATTTTCCATTTCAGACTGGGAAGATATGGTATATTGAAATATCGAGATATAAGAGAGAAAAGGAGACCTTTTTTGCACATCATTGGAATAAAGCTATCAGTTTTTCGAAAATATTACGGCTTTTTTCCAAAATACTGTATCTATACAACTGAGCTTGAAAGTTGAAATAATACTTCTGAGAAAATATAACATGATATTTAAAGTAGAAGATGCTGGAGTCATTCGGAAAAGTAAACCTTTGTATTGTCGTAGTTTGTATGGCCAAAACAACCAATCCACAGGGTTACAAAACGTCTATACAACACCAAAATCGTAAGAATTATGAAACTATTGTTAAAGAAATAAGATTACAACTCACTCAGGTAATGTAGCCTTCATTTTTTAAACTTGTATAGCTGCTTGCAGAATGTCATCGAGCCACAGGCATAGTTCATATTTTCCCGTACGAATCAATAACATTTGACGTTCTCTTGCCGGTGATTTTCGACCTCTTGTTTTCATTCATATTAATGTCAAATTCCCAAAATAATACTTTCATTCCATGGTTGTCTTGATTTTTCATGGAATTGACGTTAAAATCTTAGTAAAATACAGTTTTTCGCTTCTGGATAAACACGTATCATCGCTACGTTGTCATATCTTCCACACAAAAAACCGGTCGTTTTTATAATATACTCGTTAATTACAGCTTTAGTTGTGGGCACGAAGTCTTAAAATAGACACAAACATCGTTATAAATCGAAATAATGTATCATAATTAAACAAAAACTTGATAAATGAAAAGTTGTAATAGCAGAAAAGACAGGAAAACACCTTAAATTGATGTCGCTCCGATACGAATCCGGTATCATGTAACAGGGGCCTTAATCTAACATTACCCGTCATTTGATTAAACCAACCAGAAATAGATTGAATACTTATACTAATAAGCTCTAAATATATTGTTAACTGATCTGAAAGATTTCAGTGTTCTTAGTTTATAAAAATTACATATTGACATTGATAATCGCTTTATTAGCATGACCATATTTTACAGGTATTGCTAAAGCTTAACTATAACGTAACAATGTAGACTATAAGAAGATACTACATACAGGATGGAAAGTTTAACTAATGACTACCAGCATTCCCGGCTTCAAGTTGTTTAAGCCTTTCCTCAAAACACGAAAAAATAAATTTCGATAATTTCAAGATGGTGCCACAAGCAGTTAACTTCATTATGTCAACTGATAAAGTTGGTTCGTTTACATTTGTCTCAGTAGTAGTGAGATCGTTTTTAGACTGTTTATAAAGTTTACTCGAATGTCACCATAAGCCTCGCAAGTGAGGAGGAGGTGAGATTCATTTTCAACTTCTCCCGAGTGACAAAGGTTACACAGTCGTTCTTCACGGGCTATATTATGGTATCTACCACTTTCAATCTGAAGGCTTGGTTACTTAATCTGAATCGTGTTAAGGTTTTTCTTTTGTTTGAGTCTTTTATTATAGATAAGTACTTTTCTAGTTCGTAATCTATCTTGATGGTCGAATAAAAGATTAGTTTCGAGGAATTTTCAAGTTTGTGTTTCCAAAATGTGAGGTAATTTTCTTTAATACCTTTGGTAATAGGTTGAATAAGTTCAGTTGTGATTGATTCCAAGTCAGTGATTTCTGTGTTGAGGTTAAATGCTTTCAAAATATCCATTGCTTTTCCATAATAAGAAGTGTTCTGTTTAGTAAACAAATCTTTTGAGATTAGGAAAGCTTGTTTGGCAATGGCTGTTTCCGATAAATAGTTCAAATGAGCGATGTACTTGAAAAGTCTTTTGAAGAATTGATATTAATAATTAGAGGGAATTTTCCTAGTTCACCTCTTGAGGCGATATTGCTAGCTTTTTTACCAACACCTAGATATATTTTGCAGAATCTAAGGTAGACTTTTTCAATAGGTAACTTGTCCCAATTGTTAAAATTATTTTTTACATATGCACCCCCATACTTCAGAGTTGTAAAGAAGGATGGGGCTTATAATTCGATCGAAAATTTTAATAGCAGATTTTGGGTTAAGTCGGTGTACATTGAGTCGTCTTCTCATACTGTATAATGCGTGGAGGGCTTTTTCACTCAACTGTTTAAGAGCTGGGGTGAAATTACCATTGTTGTTCATCTTAATGCCTAAATAACAGTATTCTTTTCCAACAGTTATATCTTTCTTTCCGAGATTAAAAATTGGTTTCGCTTTTTTAGAATTTGTTTTCTCAAATCTCATAACTTGTGTTTTCTTTAAATTCACCTCCATAAGCCATTTATTGCTCCAGCTCTAGATAGTATGATTAGATCATCAGCATATAACAGGCAGCTCAGTTTTGTTCCATTTGGAAGTATAAACGAATCAGAGCTTGTGTTGTCAAACAAAGTAGCTAACTCGTTTATGTAAATGTTGAAAAGAAGAGGACTCGTGCATGGAAATTGTTGCCCCCCCCCTGCTCCGCGGTCCCTGAAATTACGCCCGTTGTGCTCTAAATAAAGCCTGTTCTAAACCGCCATATTTGATAATTGAGTTTTTGGCGGCAATATATTGTGTTCAGCGGTTCTACCGGTACCTATCAAATATGCTACATATACTTTGTATTGCTATGTCGTTTAACTGTCAATCTGGGCTTGTTTTGCTAACCGATTATAATGATTATCGTGCTGAGTAAATTTCGGGTAACCAAAATTTCCATTTCTTATAAAACAGGTGAAAGTCATATCGGTAGTAGTTTTATTCGTCAAAAATATTTTTGTCTGCCGACTGAAATAGCAATCCTGCCGACTGAAGCTTGGAAGAGAATTTCTGGGAGGGGTCACCCCCCCCCCCCGCACAACCCCCGTAGCTCCAGCCCTGTGACCACAGACCACTCCTCCTCTGGGTTCAAATGATTCATAAAATTGGCGAAATGTGAATTCAACCACTAAAACTACAAGTCGATATCTTAGCTATTTGCCCCGGGTAATTGACATTAGAAAATCCGCTTTATGCATATTTGTGCTAACCTGATTGCAATTCACAGGTATTATAAGCTAAAATATTGTCAGTCTATAGGCACCTATGCAACCTCCTACCCAGGCTCTTTCCACTAGTGGGCTCGCTGGAGGAAAGACTTTGGTCCAGGCTGGTAACGTGTCTCCCAGATTTTGGGAGATAGCAATTGGGATTCATGGGGGGTAAGGAAGGCAAATGTAGCGTTCGCGAGTTCAAACTTCAAAACAGTAGAAAGAGTGTGAGGAAAGCAACACAAAGGAGTACCATGAAACTAAGTTTTTATTGGCATGTACTTTTCATAAAATACGTCATAACGGTTATTCTAAGGGACAGTCGCGGATTTAGTTTTATATCGACAGGAAAAGGCAGAATCCTTAGAAAATTGCTGTTGAGTGTTGTATTCGGCAGAACATTTGTTTAACCAGAATCATTGGATATTAATTGATATTTGTTGGAACTATAAAATAACCGCTGTTCGCGTATTAATGTAGCGTTCGAATTTCCAATTTTGTTGAACTGAACTGAACATGTTCAATGAAGAATAAATAAGTACATTTATAGACAGCACATTTAGGTCGATATATCTATAATAAATCCTCTATTTTGGGTATATATTTATAGGAGCGTATTTATTTGCAATCGATTGTTTCCCCAGTGAAATATGATCAATGTTTACATAAAATTATATACTGTGCACCTGGGTGAAGCTTTGTATTCTCTTTTAGAATGTTTTTTAAAACTTTTAGCATCACTTATAGGTCTCACCCTATATTACGCTCTAGTTTAACGACAGGAAAGGCATACAATTAAGGCCCAATATATTTCTAAAGTTGACGCACAGTCAAATTCAAATTGACGAAATTTATTTGACAAACATCTATGGTCTGGATGTTTGCATATGTTTATACGAGGAGTCAAACGGCTGACTCAAATTTGCAGCATTTTATATTTTCTTTCTTAAATCAAAATTACATTACAGTTTTAAAATAGCAAGTTTATTTATTGCCTTATATTGCTTATTTTTCTTTTGCCCGCCGTTTGTCCGTATGAACGCCAAGCTGAAATATCTCTATATTATATAAAGACATGTGTACATGAAGAATTAAAAGTAACATTTCGAAATATTATAATATATATATCCCCTGAGTACTGTCTTATGGAAACACGAGGAAATGGAAAATGTATTAAACCTCCACAGATATACTATCAATAATTCATGTGCACACTATATAATATATATTTTCTTACTGTTTTTTCTATATGCGTGTGTCGTGTTATCGAGTCGTTCCACTTATGATTACAATTTACGGCAATTTAAAATAGACTCGCTGTTGGCTGCTAGGCAAATGTTCTTTGCTTGTCCTTGAGAATATTACAAATCATTTCCTGGTACTTCTTTGCGGTCTTACTCAATACGAAACTGAAGTACTCCAGTATGTAGATCTTGCGTGGCGACGTCGCAAATGCAGTCCACAAAGAATACATATACAAAGACATCTGTCCCCATTGATTTGCAACACAAGCTCTTAAGCTATTCATTAAAATTACATGCATTTGTTAAATTACAGACGCTCTGAACTTTATTTATTGAATTGATATCGGCAACTGGATCGGTAGCCCTCCGGCTGGAGGGCTGTTGTTATCTCCCAAAATATATATGTTGTTATCTCCCAAAATCTGGGAGACACGTGACCATCCTGGACCAGGGTCTTTCCTCCAGCGAGGCGCGTAGTGGAAAGAGCCTGGGTGCGAGGTTGGCACCTATGTTGTATCTGTGGGATTTGAAATTTGCGTGTCCGCGCCATGTCATTGGCATACAGCCGATTGCTATAACATGATTAACTGCACGGCTTTATCTTGGTGTAGATGGAATATGTCGAATCAATTCCCTTGTGATTTGACTTTTAGGGCGACAGTGCATGGCAGCGCGTGCAAGATCTGCAAAATAATCATACTGTCGACATATTGATATTAGAATGTCAGGGTTAGTAATCCAAGTGAGTATATATACACTTTAAGACCAAAGCGGGAACGACTGCGAAAAATGTAGCACAAGGTTCTCTGTTAGGGATTGAACCTACGGCCCTGCGATTCCGGTGCAGCGGTCTAACCATGCAACTGAGTACGTTCATGCATATATAGGTAATCGGGTGTGCGGGTTGTGACAGGGTGGACTTCAATGATTTGGTTTCTTGCACTTCACTTGGTGGAATTAATATTAGAATGTTAGGGTTCAATTCATACCAGAGGACCTTGTGCTGCATTTTTCGCAGTCGATCATGGTCAGGTCTTAAAATGTATATATACTCACTTGGATTACAAATCCTAACATTCTAATATTAATTCCACCAAGTGTAGTGCAAGAAACCAAATCATTGAAGACATGTTGATATACCCATTACATAAACTAAACTGTGACTAAACCAAATTATATACATAAATTAATCTAAACTAAACTATAACTTTAGTTTACTACCACACATTAATATTGTGGTGGAAAGTTACTTCTTCAAAAGTTTACACGTAAACTAAAACACTGTGCATGGCTTCGGTCGCACATTAGGTTTAATCGATCTTTTATTGACAGAATAATTATGCAGATATATACAAGACATGTGCATATATCGAGACGTAATTTATTCAGCTTAGTACCCCTTAAGTAAGTTTAAGTAACAACCAATAGCAACTAGTATTTTACGGTTGTAGACGAATCGACAGCTAGAAGCGGCAACGTTAATGATATTAATAAGGCTCTTCGTATATGTTTTCGTCCTTACTGTACATGCAGGGCAACTATTACCCGAAAAACTACAAAAATGGATTATTGTGGATGTAGTGTAAAAAGGTTAAAGACAATACCGTTTCTAAATATTTGAATAATGTAAATCATAAAAAATTTGTCCCCGAGGGTAGTAATTCACCCCGGCTATTTACACTCGGGGATACGAAAGCATTAGCGAAGTCTAAAGTTCATCAATCATCGCGGGCGCTCACCAACGATCTTGAGTGGGTGGTCGTCCTCACTGATCTCAAAAATATGGCTGATTGCTTGTAGAAGTGGGATAAGCAAGATTTCAATTTTAAAAGACATATATTTGGAAAATCGTTTCATATAGGCCTAGAACAAGCTTGAAGCAATTTTGTTTGAAGAAATGAGAAGAATTGATTTACTACGGGAAATCGTGAAATATACGGCAAGTTTGCTTTGAATATTTATATTTAATGTTTACGAATTTTGTTGCTTTAACTTTTTGCCTATTGAATAAAGAACATAAACTGATTTCCTTTTCAAAGAAGCTCTAAGTTTCATAAATTACCATTTAATTTGAGAAAATATCTTAAAATGTAAAGGCGAACAAATTGATTTGACAAATTGATCATGTTTTGTTATAAAGTAAAAGCAGTTTATCGGCAAAATGTAGTTTACTTGAATGGACATTTCAAAACATTTTACGAAGAGTTTCAAATTGAATTTTACATTAAATAAAAAGCTCACATGCAAAATAATATACCTACAGTATATAATTCGGAAATTTATTGTTGTATAGTTAAAAGTACGAATCTTTCAACTATTTTGCAGTTTTGTACAAAAAATATGAAAATAAAAATTTAAGAATATCTTGTTGTCATGGCAACACTTGAGCGCGAGCCTGCTTTCAGTACAGGTCATTTCTGAATACTTCATGTTTAATGTTTGGAAAATATTGGTGAGGGGTTACTGCATGCATGTACTCTAGTATAGATAGTACCTGTTGCTAATTATCGCTTGGGTCATTGAGATTGTCGAGTATGATTGCAGCGACTACATACCTCAAATACTTTAACCATTCAAATGAATAATGACTCGTATGACCATCTTCCCAATTAACTTCCAACTGATCATCCTCAGTATTCCAGACAGCCGACTCTGCTGTAATATCGAGATTAACTTCCTTCGGCGAATACATTGTACGTGATTTCCTTTCATCTGTATAACATGCTGCACAACGGCAATTCTCGCGAAGATAAACATGTGGAAATTCATCGACATTGCCGTCGTTCCACTTGATCACTAAGCATTCTTTCTCGTTCTTATAAACATTTTGAGCCGCATTGTATGTAGCCGACAGAGTTAAACAGCGATGTGTGCTGCTATTTAACAAACGCCGCAGTTGAGTTCCAAGCAAACTGCGTGCTTTTACTCTTAGGGACAGCATGGTTATAATGAATTCGTTGTGTCAGTGGCTAGCTCATCGTAAATCTCATCGCTTCACACATTTGCATATGGTATATAGGTTCGCAAAAGAACCCTATTTAGAAATTTTGAGCGGCTATTCAATTTGACCGCATTCTGATTGGTTCGTAATGATAATTCAAGTGAGTGGTGTGCAATTTTGTTTATTAAAATCAAACTATTTTGGCGGGGCATTGTCTTAAACCAGGCAGAGCATATCTAATTTTATTGTGCGGAAGTGCGATAAGTGTACCTAAGAGTTAATTACAGTGAACCAAGGCATTTAGCAAAACATAACATGAGGGCGCAGCCCGAAGGCTGTAATTGGATAAACTGCTGAGGTTCGGGGTAATTAACTGCATGACTTATTACATGAGTGACAAGGTTTTCTCAAAAGAACAAAATATGTAGAAAATACTCTGTATAGAAATACCTGGCAATTATGGCATGTGGTAAAACCTGGACGATGGACTAGACGATGGGCGATGTACGATGGACGTCTATCGTCTAGGTTTTAGCAAATGAAATACTATCAAAATGAAGAGAAAAGTGAGATGAATATACTGGTATACCAATATTATATCAAACGTACTGCATTTTTAATCAGTTTAATAATTTTGAGCGATTTGTCAACAATACAATTTCGATAATTAAAACTGCACTTTAAAACCTTCAAAATAAAATAGCTTGGGCTCAAAATACTATCAAAATGACGAGAAAAATTAGTCGTATCGACTGGTATACGGCTGAAAACGAGAAAACCAACGATACCAAAGTTACCAAGAATCGAACGTACTGCATTTTTAATTAGTTTAATAATTTCGAGCGATTAATTTGTCAATGCAATCACGCTTGACTTCCAAAGGCCATAAATCGCTAGAATTCTGTTGTTTAGTAATACATTTGACATCCGTAGTAAGTACAATTTCGTACGCTAAATCGAACGGTGGTATTTTTGTCCTTATTGGGTGCATAAAACCAGAGATAAGGCGCAGCAAAAAGTCATTCGTGTGAGTCCGAGATTAATTCGAAAGAAAACTTTCCTCGAAAAAAGGAATTCGGAAAACGTGAAAGATTATTTTGAGCGGCTTGTCCTTCAAAGGCCATAAATCGCAAGAATAGAAATCAATTTTGAAATCAATTTTCCATCCGTAAATACAAGTTTTCACGCTGATACGAACAGTGGTATTGTTGTCCTTGTTTGGCCCATAAAACTAGAGATAAAGCCTAGCAAACAGTCGATCCTGAGAGTACAAGATAAATTAATTTTTCTGCAAAAATGAATAAATTTCGAGCACGTGCAAGGAATTTTACTAGGCGATTAACAAAACGTTTGATGCGAACAAACTAACAAACGGACAAACTCACAGGCAGAATATACCGCAATTCAAAACACTAAAACCCGCACACTTCCGCTCCTGTACTTTGTTGTCATTTATTGTATATGTCGCTGTGTATTAATAATAATACTAATATTGCAATACTTGTAACAAACAATGGCTTTTGTGTAAAGTAGCGTTGGATTTGTGGCAAGATGATACGCTAATCATATACATGAAAAAGCGCAAAAATAGCCAACATTCTTTCTCGTTTGCGTGGAAATGCAGA